CAAGGGAGATTTAGGTTGGACATTAGGAAAAAGTTCCTAACTGTCAGGGTGGTTAAACACTGAAATAAATTGCCTAGGGAGGTTGGGGAATCTCCATCTCTGGAGATATTTAAGAGTAGATTAGATAAATATCTATCAGGGATGGTCTAGACAGTATTTGGTCCTGCCATGAGGGCAGGGGATTGGACTCAATGACCTCTCGAGGTCTCTTCCAGTCCTAGAATCTATGAATAATCCTGCTTTTATTAAAGAGCAGAGCTGCCGCAAGAAGGTGGAAAAGACGAGGGATGCATGTCAATAAATCCTACTTCAAGATATTTGGAATTGTCTTGTTTGAACAGAAGTAATACTTAGAAACATTAATTATTACCTCCTTTAAAGTATTCCTGTGATCACCTGGAGAGAATTTGTACATGTTAAAACAGCTGATAGAATGATGTTGAAACTGACATTTTAAACTCTCCATTTTAAACCATCCCATGCCATCGAATTTTTTACATGGAATATTGGGAAGAGAGGACAAATCATAGATTTGGTAGAGGAAATCATCATATAATTGCACAAGATATGGAAATATAATATATCCAGGACCTATGTAAAATGCACCGCTTGCTCCATGGGTGCCAGGAGAGTGACCTCTTTGTCCTCCATGGCACAGGACTGTTTTGAAAGACGTGCATACTCCTTGGCTTGTTCAATCTTCCTCTTCTCTACTGAGAATGCCAACAAGAGATCCCTAATTGACCTATCAACTCATTTTACATAGTCATTCCCACCTGATGGCTGTTTGTTGAACTGCCAATCACTACTGATAGGCACTTTTATTTGAACTGGTGCCCTTAAGGCAAAGCCCACCTCCATCCAACAAATATGCATGTTAATATTTTTAGTTTAATTGTTTTAAAATAAGAGAATTTAGGCACAGGCTCTCTAATAGGATTACCTGGCTTCTGCTAGCCGTGGCAAATGAATGCTTTTAGTTTGAATTTTTGTAAAGATTCTTAGAGAGACAAGGTGGGTGAGGTCATAACTTTTAATGGACCATCTTCTTTATTTGGGACTGACACGTCTACAGTTACACTACATATAAAGGTTATGAGAGAGCGCAGCACAGTTTCTTATGATGTTCTAATTGAGCAACTCTGGAGCTATCAAAATATTGCAGCCTATTAGACATAGGGGCGGTCAGGGGATAAGGAGCAGAGAGAGTTGGATGGGTCAGGGATTCTGAGGGGGGCAGTCAGGGGGCAGGAAGTGGGAAAGGGTGGATAGGGGGCAGGGACTAGGCTCTTTGGGGAGGCAGAGCCTTCCTTACCTGGCCCTCCATACAGTTTTGGAACTCTGATGTGGCCCTCAGGCCAAAAAATTTGCCCACCCCGGTCTAGTGTATGCATGGGAATCTGCAAAGCAATTTGGGACCCTTTGCAGTAAGAGGTCCCACCGTAACATGGTTATTATTACAGCTAGCGTGACTCTATTCAGCTTCTAGTTAGAGAAGAATTGTATTGTGGTTAAGATGCCAGACTGGTGCTTACACTGGGTTCAATTTTTCCAGCTGTACAATAGAAACAAAATGCTTTTCTCCCACCTTTTGTCCACCTTGCCTAGTTAGAGGCAAGCTCCATGCCTTACTCTGTACAGTAGAACCTCAGAGCTATGAACACCTCGGGAATGGAGGTTGTTCGTAACGCTGAACAAAACGTTATGGTGGTTCTTTCAAATGTTTAAAGCTGATCATTGGCTTAATGCAGCTTTGAAACTTTAGTATGCAGAAGAAAAATGCTGCTTTCCTTTTTTTTATTTTTTTTTTTAGTTAGTTTTACATTTAGCACAGTACTGCCTCGTATTTGCTGCTGCTGCTGCTTCTTTTTGGGGCGGGGGGGGGGGCAGGGTGTCTCTGCTGCTGCCTGATTTTAAATTTGTTAGTCTCTAAGGTTCCACAAGTACTCCTGTTCTTTTTGCCTGATTGTGTATTTTTGGTTCCAAATGAGGTGTGTGGTTGACTAGTCAGTTCATAACTCTGCAGTTCCCCTGTGTATGTGTCCAGCACCTAGCACCCCGGGGCCCGGAGACGGTAGATAACTAGGTCCCTAGCCTGCACTGCCTCCCTGCAGCAGGATACCCACCAGCCTAGCGGGGCATGCATCACTCTGGGAGCCTCCCAGCACCCTCAAGCTTTCCCCATAGGCCCCCTCCCCAGAACCCCGGGCTCTGACCCCCTTCACTACCCCCCTTGTACCCCAGCCGTGCCCCCCCCTCTCTCTGCACCCTCGACCGCCCCGCTCCTCTGTGTCCCCCGGGTGGGGGGAGAGTGACCAGTCACCCTAGCCGCTCGGCTCGCCCCCCCTTCACGTACTTACCTGCTCATCGGTCCGAGCAACCTCCCTGCAATTCAAAATCGCTACACCATCCACCCTAAGCCAATCGCAGCCCCGCTCTCTTCTGCCTCCCACGGAGCCCGACACCCACCAGAGCTATCCAAGCTCTGATTGGTTACAGCGAATTCAGGTCCAGCCAGTCGACGCCAAGCGTGTACATGATAAGGAGGCGGGGAGAAGAACCAATCCCAGCATAGCTCTCACCTGCCATCAGCACATCCTGCGCCACACGAAGGAAAGATGCCTCACGATTGGTTGGAAGGGTTTCAGTTTAACCAATCAGTTTGCCAGAGTGTTTGTTTTACAAAAGACCAATCAGATTAAAAAGTGGGAGGGGAGAAGCCAATAACAGAGCAGTGGACAAGATAAACGAAAAAGAGGCATAGTTCCCCCACCCCCCCTTGCAATAAACCAATCAGAAAACAGGGGTAACCCTTCTATCCAATTAGCTAGTATAGTTCCAATATAAGCCAATCACAATTGGAGTCCACTCTCAGCCAGTCATAATTCGCGGCTCTCCTTTCCTAACCAATCACATGGTGCAGTTTTTCTTCCAACCAACGGCCGCATCCGTGTCATAAACAGGGTTTACGTCCTTCCCCGCCCAATGGGCGCGGGTCTGTGTCAGCAGAGGGCCAATCCCAATTAAGCAGTGAGTGACAGCTGCCCAATGGCGACCCCCGGCTTTCCCATCCTGTGAAAGAGGGGGTGGCTATATCTCCGCCGCCGCCTGAGGAATGTCAACTATTCAACATGGAGACGGCGGTTACCAGGCTTGAGACCATGGTGAGTTCAAGGGGCGGGGGGCCAGGCCGAGAGCGAGGCCGGCGGGTAAGAGGTAGTGGGGCCTGTGTCTGGGGGGCGAGGCTGGAGGTAAGCGCGCGCTGGCGCAAGCTGTGAGCTGGAGGGGTCAGGGGGACCGTCCCTATCCAGACTCATGGGGGTAGCTGGGGATTGAAGCGGGAGGCACAGGACTGTTCCTCTCACCCGTCGGGCCGGCCCATTCTTCTTTCGAGGGGCAGGGTAAATTCGTCTGGGTCTGTTCATTTTGTTCTCACCCTGAGGAGGGGAATAGGTAGAGCTTGGCGGGCCGTTCCATTCCCCTCTCCCCGTGCGAGGGGGGGCGGGGGGAGGGGTTGTGGAGCAGCGCTCTCCTGGGTCGGTCCATTTTCTTCTCCGGCCCAGAAGTGGGAGGTGGAGCAGAGGTTGCCTGGACTGGCCCATTCTTTAGGGAGGGGGAGGGCATGGAACTTCCAGCCCCGTAGCATGTGGAGGTGACGTTGGCTGCTCTGGTCTAATCTCCCGCATGCTGGGGTGGGTGTGGAGCACAGAGTTCATTGGGGCCCGTCCATTTTTCTCTCTCCGCGGAGGCAGTGGGGTGGGCGTAGAAGTTTTCTGGGTGGTCCATTTGCGTCTCATCCCAGTGGGCTGGTGATGGAGCAGAGCTCCCCAGGGCGGATCCATTCTTCTCTTTATCTCGGAGGTGAGCTGGGGGGAAACTGGCGCAATCCTCCTCAAGGCCACTTCTTCTCTCATACAGGGCCCCTCTTGTATGGGGGAAGGAGGGCAGAGCTGTGCTGAAGCTGATCCATGCTCTCATCTGGTTGAGGGTGGGAAGAGCTCAGTTGGGCTGGTCCGTTTCCACTTTGAAGGATGAGTGGTCAAAACTTGTGTGGGACATTCTAGTTCCCAAAAATCTTGTGGGGGCAGAGCTCCTGTTGGCTAGCCTATTCCCCACTGACTATGCTGCTGGAGATGTTTCATGGGACTTTTCAGTCTGGCAAAGAAGTCAGGCTCCTTACTAGACTGGTATTGTGTGCCCAGCTTAGTGGGGGAAGGATGTTGTTCACTTCAGCCCTTCCAGTCCATAGGTCTCTTAACTTAATTTTAGCACTGTTTGATCCAGTCGCCCCAGGCAGGACCATAGTTTCTTTTTTTCCTACCTCCAGTCATGCTAAATAGCTGTGCTTTAACACAAGTCACTTTCATAGTGCAATTAGGCCCTAGAAAGGATTTCCCCTTCATATGCACCAGAGCCCTTCTGTGGCATCCTTCAGGAGGTAGTTCAAGTGTTAAGCTACTTTTTTTGTTTCTGGAGTTTTTATGTTAATTTATTTCAATAGTTATGGGGATTATTATAGGCACATATGTGTCTGTTTATAATTTTGTTTAACATGCTTGGAGACATTTGGGAATGGTCTGTGCATTCTAATTTATTATGGATATTAATTCTTACATTGTGCCATAAACATACATTTTATAAAAAGAACAGGAGTACTTGTGGCACCTTAGAGACTAACAAATTTATTAGAGCATAAGCTTTTGTGGGCTACTGCCCACTTCTTCGGATGCATATATATGTTCCATTCTATATACATCCGAAGAAGTGGGCAGTAGCCCACAAAAGCTTATGCTCTAATAAATTTGTTAGTCTCTAAGGTGCCACAAGTACTCCTGTTCTTTTTGCGGATACAGACTAACACGGCTGCTGCTCTGAAACCATACATTTTATAGGCTTTTATATGAGAATTACACACAATAAAATGTGATTCTGCAAAATATCTCTATATTGTTTCCTTGTGGTATTTTGTCAGCAAACTTCCAATTACCCATTTATCTCAATAATGCTACTTGTTTTGGTAACCCGTCTAATAGACCAGCAATAGCCCCACAGGGAACACACCTAGGTTATTGAATACAGGGAGTTAGCTATTGCAGTAGGTTAGTACTCTGGCTTTTAATATATGGAAACATGGGATTGAAATTTTAATTAGGTGGAAAGTGAAAATGAGTTTGGTGTTCTCCTGGTCCTTATTTATACATTTTTAAATCACTATAACGAGCTTCTCAAGAGAATCTCAGAACTAGGAGGTACAATGGCAGAGCTTTGTGGGAAAGTGTTCATGTTTTATGTCCTCGCTATCCCTGAATCTAGTCAGTGCTTTTAAGCCCTTCACTTTCTTAAGCACCAAATTAAAGCACTTCCTAGCCCTTCTATTTCATTTAATAACTTTTTTCAGTTACCTAACTGTCCCTTCCATTCACATTTTTGAACTTCCACTTCCAATGTAATTATTTCTTTAATATGTTAACAGCAATGTACAAATGAAGCATTTTTTGTCTGAAAATAAACAACTTAGAAGGTATTCAGCCAAAAGTATAAGCTTGTTCTTCTAATGTGCCTCTGTCATCTCATTGAGTGACCCGCATTACCTTTCTGTTCCAGTCCAATGGCTCTTCTGAGTAGTGCTGTAACCTATGTAGTGGTTTTATGACAACACCAGATTACAATTAGGAACAAAATAACATTCTTTGTATCACACTATTAGAAAATATTTGAATCTAATGCTCCAGAGTTAAAAGGTCACTGCATTAAATATGTACACTATGTAAATCTCAATTTCACAGTATATTTTAAAGATGCGTGCTTTGTGTTAAGCTGTTTTGTGTTTTTGTTTGTTTTTGTTTTTAAATCCCAAGCCATATTTTGGAATCTGGTAAATTATACTTCCTGTATCCAGTATCTACTAAAGTGATGTCATCATACTCAAATAATGTTTGGCGTGGTAATACTATACTGTTTCACTTGAATGATGTTTACATTTTTCTCAAATCTCTGAAGATCAATTTTGATTTTAAATGTAAAACTGATAGTAATGTCCATACAGTCAATTTGTTTTGAGATCTACCTGTCTTTTCTGTTGCTTTTTTCTTTTTAAACTTGTCCTATTTTTAAATTTAAAACTATTTTTATTGTGAAAAACTGCCTAGAAACTATCAATATGTTGAATGTCAAATTCTGTGTCAGTATTACAAATACTCACATTTTAGCCTTACTTTGTAGAATCTGATGGTTCATGATTTTTGCTTCAGGACACAAAAATAATTGCAACAAAAATAATCAAAGAAATTACAGTGCAGGAATAGTGAGTGATATCAAAGCCCCTTTAAAGTCAATAGGAATCTTGCCATTGACTTAATTGCAGCCAGGATATCAACCAATGTTTTTATGTCCTACTTTCCAAGTAGACATCTTGATTTTTGCATTAGATTGCATTAGGATTGGTTTGGACCAAATCATTCATATATATAATTTGCACTCTGTCACTACTACCTTATGCTACCAGTATTTAAGACTATAGTTTGTTCCTTTGCTCCTATATTGGCAAGGGCCATCTTGCATTCTTCTGTTTGATTTTAGGGGTACTGTTGACTTGTTCCAAAGGGAGACATGTCCAGCTGCCTTCTGCCATTAGGAAGGATCATGAGTGACACAATGCAGGGCCATCTTGAATTTTTAGTTGTATTCTCTTTTTTTTTTAAACGAGATGTTACCATTTTACTTTGTTTTAATTTCTTGCACACAAGCTTAGTTAGGTTTTCAAAAGAGTGTGTGTGTCTCTCTCTCTCTCTCTCTCTCTCTCTGAAAGCATTCAATTATTTAAATTAATGGGAATTTGTGTCTTGGTAACTGTCCCTGGTATTGCAGCTTTGTATGTCTTGTTTATCCTTTTGGCTTGTCTGTTCTTCCTGTATTTTCTATAAAGTCGTCAGCTCTTTCCATAGAAGTGTGATAAAATAGTACTTCTAACTTCCCCAGTTTCGGTATGTACTTCCTCTAGAAGCTAAAAGCTTTTCATGAACTGAGGATAGACTATAGTTGTTTTGTAGGAAAACTTAAAAAGAACTAATTTTATTAATAGCAATGTGAATGATAATACTGAATAACCATGTGGCTTAAAAGCGAGTCTGCATACATTTGAAAGACAAATGACCAAATTACAATAAGAGAAGAGTGAGTCAGAGGATCCATAACATGGTCAAATTAATTATGTAAAAAGAGCATAAACCTAAATTAGTTTTTTTTATTTGTTTTTTTTTTTTAAGACTTGATGCATTTCAGAAGGAGATATGCATCGAAGACGAGGCTCGATCCAATGCCCATTAAAATCGGTGGGAATCTTTCTACGAACTTCAGTGGGCATTGGATCAGGCCCTATTGAGAGTACTGTACAATACATGGTGGTGGATTATGATTAAAGAAATGGTGTCTTTAGTAAGTATTATTTACTTTTAAGTCTCAGACCTTCAAATGTTGGAGGTAGCATAAAGGTCTGAGGAAAATACATTCACATGTGCAACATTTCAGTGTTCCTTACTGTAAAAACAGAATTGCTAGATTAATCTTAAAATGCTTGTTTGAGAGCAGTCTTGTTCCATTTATTTCATTGTATTTTTAGTATGTTGGACCTACCTATTACTTCCTGGTGAGTGGTGTCTGTCCAGTGCCCTTTTTATGTTGTACTACTAGTGATCATACACAAAAAGCAGTGCAATGTTAAAAGGGCATTGGCCAGTGATACTGTCCACGTTAGTTAATTTTTTTTTTTTTTTTTTTTTTTTTTTTTTTTTTTTTTTTTTTT